ATAACCCTAGCTCCACCAGGAAATGATGCCGAGTTGGCGAACGGCAGACGCAGACTCCTCCGAATGTCCTGGTGTACCGCTGCCGCCGCAGTACTTACTATACCCATCCTGGTGCTAAATTGGTCTAACGACCCTATCCCATATTCCAAACGGTCAATTGTTTCACTAGTACTCGCAACTCTTGTGCAGGGCCTCGCAGTTCCGGAATTTTATGCTGGCGCACTCAAATCACTTATCTACAGCCGAGTCCTTGAAATGGACATGCTTGTAGTCATCAGCATAACCGCAGCATATGTCTACTCGGTTGTAGCATTCGGCCTCACGCACGCCGGCTACGTCTTAGAAACCGGTGAATTCTTTGAAACAAGCTCTCTACTAATCACACTTGTTTTACTGGGAAGGCTTATCGCTGCTATTGCGAAAGTGAGAGCGGTATCCGCTGTTTCAGTCCGTTCTCTCCAAGCCGAGAAGGCAATTTTGGTCACAACCTCTGGGAATACAACTGAAATTGATGCCCGTTTACTGCAACTCGGCGACTGCTTCGTTATTCCAGCGCATAGTCGAGTTGTGACTGACGGTGTCGTTATCAACGGGAGAGGTTCCATTGATGAGTCTATGATCACAGGGGAAAGCGTGCCGGTACCTAAAGCCCTAGGGGATGAAGTCATTGCAGGAACTATTAACGGCGCAAGCCCTCTAACAGTCCGCATGACCCGTCTCCCAGGTAAAAATAGCATCACGGATATAGCAAATCTAGTCGAGAACGCCCTCGCGGCTAAGCCTCGGATCCAAGACCTCGCGGATACAGTCGCTAGTTATTTTATCCCGGTGGTTATATCCATTGCTTTGGTTGTTTTTGGCATCTGGATGGCAGTTGCTGTTAAAGTCCGTGGAGAAGCAGGTGGCAGTGCGTTTGGGATAGCTATTACGTATGCTATCGCTGTTCTTGCGGTGTCTTGTCCTTGTGCTTTAGGCCTCGCCGTCCCAATGGTCCTAGTTATTGCAGGAGGCACGGCCGCCAGGTCAGGCGTGATCATCAAAAGAGCCGATGCCATTGAGAGAGGACATAAAGTCACAGACGTCGTCTTCGACAAGACCGGCACGATTACTAAAGGAGACTTGGCTGTTGTTTGTGAGCAACTTCTTTCGGATTGTGCCACTGAAATACAGGCTGTTATCAGATCGATGACAAAAGATAACCAACATCCTGTTTCAATTGCTGTTTCAGCTTATCTACAGTTAAAATCTGACGAACTGGCTTGCGTGGACAATCTAGAGTCAATTCCTGGTTCTGGTATTCAAGGCGAATGGCGTGGATCTATCGTGAAAGCTGGAAACCCCCATTGGCTGAATATCGAGAACGACCCTGAGATCTCTCGCTTGATTGAGCAGGGCATGACACTCTTCTGTATCACGCTGGACTCTACCCCAGTAGCTGCATTCGGGCTGAAAGCAAATATCAGAGAAGAGGCAAATAAGGTCATATCAGAGCTCCAGAACAGCAAGATTGAATGTCACATAGTCAGCGGTGACAGCTCTAGGGTCGTCGAAGATGTTGCAATGGCAGTTGGCATCCCATTCCAAAATGTCGCATCCCGAAACTCACCCGCTCAAAAACAGCAATATGTCAAAGATTTGATGTCCAATGGGCGTATTGTTCTGTTCTGTGGGGATGGCACAAATGACGCGGTCGCAGTGGCGCAGTCTAATGTTGGTGTATTGATCGGAACGGCCTCGGATGTCACGAAAGGAACTGCTGATGTCGTCCTGCTCGGAGGCCTCGACGGGATTCTCACTCTTCTTGATATTTCAAAAAGATCTGCCCGTCGAATCCTTTTCAACTTCGTGTGGTCTGCGGTCTACAATGTCTTTGCGATATTGTTGGCCGCTGGCGCATTTGTGAAGGCTAGGATTCCACCAGCCTACGCTGGTCTGGGAGAAATTGTGAGTGTGGTGCCGGTCATTGTCGTTGCGATGACACTGTCAAGGGCTCGACGAACCGCGTAATTGTGTCAGATAGGGCTAGGTTACAACATTGACCTCATCGCCCTTGACGCCACAGTTGGCTTAATCCTGAAGTTATTTGAGCTATAGCACTACGCAATGAAACCCCGAGGTCTGCTATCAAAAAAAGACTCCATTCTTTCCTGAGATCTCGCTTGATGGAGCTGGTTAGTGCATGGAGATGTTTTCCCAGATTGGTAAATTCAATGTATTGTAGAATGTATTTCCTAGTATGGAGGCTAAGAAGGTGCAGGGCCTCTTGTCTACGAATATCGATGGAGACGTATCGTAAGAATCAAATGCTGGTAGTAACAACCTGTTTTCTTCAAGTCCCTATTTAAAAAGAAGTATTCCGGCCTCGGATGATATACATCAGGGCTGAAAGCCAACCCTTAGCCGTCGAGACATCGATAAGAGGTTCCAACAGTATTCTACGAATGAACCTAATATTCTACAGACCTATAATTTTTGGTATATATAAGTTTTCAAACAACATACTGATATGAGTTTAAGGCTTGAAAACCCTCTTTCCTAACTAAAATGATATACGCGCGCATTACAAATACTCTCGGTAGAATTTTAAACATAGATAATTCCTTCAATTCGGCTCCGGCAACATCCCATCGTCCCTCTTGTGATACCCAATTCCCCAAGGCGCGAAGCATCTATAGCTCTTAACATTCCCATCCAAGCCAGTGGATCTCGTCACTCTTCCCATCGATCCTTCCCAGAATATAGCTGGATGTTTACACTCATAGTTATCAAAAAACATGCATGAGATCCCATTAATCTTAACCTTATGAACCCCACCAGCATCCTGAACCTCTGGAGGCATAACTCTGCACCCTGAAAACCCGCCCACTTTATTCCACCCCTCATCCTCAGGCATTATTGCATCTTGAACCATTACATGGTCGGATTTCCCCGCCCCGAGAAAACTTAGATGCCCGCCCTTCCACCTATCCAACTGCTTCGAGTCCACACATCTGATGCTCTGGATATAATCATTATGCTTTCCGTTCGTCTTCAACGAACCATCCGCGCGGTTAAACGCGCCGAACAACCCATTGTTACAATCCTTTTCCCCAAAAAACTCGCACTCGCAGTATCCCGTTACAATGAACGATGATACCTCACCAGCAAGACCGGTGTTTAGGTTATAACAGTCACCAGAACCCTGCATGTGGAACGGGTAGCAGGCATACCATTCCGCACTCGCCGGCTTATTGGCCTTCAAAAGCTCGTCTGGTAGTTCCCATCTTCCTAATTCGTTATTTAGTCCCCTCTCCCACATTCCGACTTTGCATTCTGGGCCTGTGAATGCCATCCAACCCAAGCCTGCTCCGTCCTTGTCATGTGAGCCTACACCTGGTGGTTCGTTGGATTCTCCCATGATACTTATTGGGAATTGGTTTCGATGCGGACGATTTCCCTTTGCATTCCATTGGCAGGTTATTACGGACTGGAAGGAATCAGAGAGATCGCCGTATGGCCATTTACCGGCGCTCGTGAGAGATGCGTAGTAAAGGAGTGAGAGGGTTATGGCTGTGGTTCTCACCATTTTCCCTTTTCTTTCTTTTTCCAAAAAGCAACACGATGCTTTGAGCCTGTAAGGTATATAAAGAAGGAATATAAAACACGTATATTTTGGGTGATCGATCCCAAGAAGAAAGAAGTATTAAAATTCAAGTAATGATCATAAGACTATCATAATTTCATGTAGGTTTTGTAGCCGTTAGGAATTTTAATATATGTAGAGATATTTGTATATCGAATGTTCTGTGGGTTAATGGACGAAAGATTTCAAGGGTAAATAAAGATATAAAAAATAGAAAGAGGGAGAAGGTTTACCGATAGGGGGCCCAAGGGAGATTATATGATTGCAGATGCCGCTATCGAAGGTGGGATCCTTGGCCGGATTTATTGCAACTGTTAACGCTTGTTGCGGCAGGTCGACCGAATAATAGTCTTTTTTTATAGGGATCGATACGTCTGGTTGCCAACAATGCAATATCGTTAACGATAGAATCCCGTCAACTAACATCCTGTTCCACAGCTACTAGCTTATCTGTACCGTACGTTTCACAAGAATTAAAAACGCTAACAATTGCAACTGAACGACTACTACGCAGCACCGTGCCAGAAAATGGATAAACCATTCTCCTCAACCCCACAGATCTACCTAGTGAACTCCGTCGGTTCATTAAGCGTACGCGATGTCCATACATGGGTCACAAGGACTTCAGCTTTTAAAAGCGTAAATAACGTACAGCGGGTTCTTTCGAATGGTCTTTGAATACCATATATGCATAGCCATGGCTCTTGACCTAATGAATTGTTGGATACTCGAGGAAGCCAAGCCTTAGACGTAGTGCGCTGCCTTCGCAACCATACAAATTGCAAAAAATGAAACAGTAGTGTTGGATTTTAGGTGTTGCGAGTGCATTGCATTATCGCTCGATACCAACGCCGGGCCGGCTTGGTCGCAAAACATGAAATATCGGAATCACTAATATGTGGGTACCTAGTACAAGGTTGACCTTTAGAATAGGCTTCGTATCCTGGTCTTGGGACCATTGCATCCTGCTTTTACGGGAGGTGTTGATTTTTACCCTCAAGCCCTCTGGTTAAATATGAAATAAATACCTATAAAATAAGGCGACATGTTAGATTTACGCTTGCGCACCTAACATCGCTAGGTAAGTATCTTGCAAGGGTTTAGAATCACTCGATCTTTCAAACTTTCATATACATATCTAATATATTTTTGAAGTCATGTTGGCTGTTAATCCAAGCACTTCAAATTCGGTGAAAGGAAAGTTATTGTAACTCCGCTTTTATCCTTGCTCGTTGTCGTTTATAGGAAACTCGGGCAGACATCCTAGCCCAAACCAAAAAAAAGTGCTGCCGGGCCAAGCTTAGCTAAAAAAAAAAAATTTGCCCGCCATTCCATACACAACCATGCATCAAGACTGGCAGCAAAACGATAAACTCGCTGATTTCATTGAGGATCGAACTCAAGACCTCGACCGATTCAAGTATTCCCTCTCAAAGAAAGAGAATTTTTGTTAAGGTCGCGTGATAACCAACTACACCATGAAACCATTGCGGATTTGTGATTGGACGATTGGTTCGGCCGTTCATGAACCATTCTGGAGACGGGTTCTTGGGATTCTTTGACTTATTGGGGTGGTATTACCCTTTTTGGTTTTCGGGCAAAAATTTAAAGAGCTGCACAAGAGCATTGCTGTTGATATTTGGAGATTGGGGTAGGACCCTGCAGTGTCGCTACGGCGTCGCTACAGCGTCACTCCAATGACGCCTTTGGTGCCGCCGATGGACCGTGGTGGTGGTGGTTTTGGGGGTGCATCCAATAGTGGTGCTAATTCCAGACAGTCTCAAGACTGATAGGCCCAGGTATACAGAAGGTGACCGACTACCTTGTATATCTAAATATCAGGCAATGATGGCGATAGTAGTATGCTTGAGATAGACTAGAGAGTATAATAGTTTTAGCACTGTTGCATTTGACTTGCGAGATTTTCTAAATCTATATGCTTCATACATTCATTAATGCTACCAAAGAATAATAAACCGATAAAAAATCCAAAGAAAAGAAGTCTTTCATGAAGCCCTCCCTCTAAAACACCATACCAAAGAATTCATCTATTATGTACAAGAGAAAGACGAGAAAATGAAAGAATCCAAAATGAAGGAAAAAGAAAACTCCAATTCATGGGGCATGAAAACACGGCATTGCCGTCTGGGTGTCTAGTTCGTATACTCCTTCCTTTCCATAGCCCTCTCCGCCTCTCTCCTCGCCATAGCCTCCCTTCTCATCCTCCCCTGCCTCTGTCCTTCCAATCCGTAGACAAAAGCTCCAACAAAGACTACAGTAGCACCAGTAATAACTCCGCCGCCCAGTTGGTTTCCAAAAAGCCAAATGCTTAATAGCAAACTCACAAGTTTCCTGATGTTCAAGACGATAGTAACCGTCAACGCCGTAGCCATGCCAGCGAGGAAGTTGACACCTCTAACGCAAACATATTGTGTCACAGCGTTGACTCCCAAGTAGAATAATTGCTTGGGAATTTTGACCTGCTTTAAGTTTTCTGGGAAGAAGAACGGGAGGAGCTCTGGCAGTGGGAGAGGTTCCGAAGAGTAGAGTCTGTAGAATTGGAGTTTGATGCTTTGAGCGAATGGGATAAAGAGAGGAAGAGAGAGGGCGTGGGTATAGAAAAGGCCTTCTCGCCAATTGGAGCCATATTTTGCGTAGGTGTTCTCGATATATACGCCCATTAGAGCTGCAAGGATTTGGGAGACGAAAAGAATTGAGAGACCGGTAAGGAAACGGGGAAGGGATTGTTCGGATTCGCCCTACACGGAGTCTGTAAGAATTTGATTATAGATTAGGTTTTAGAAGGGGCATAATTACCATTGATTTGGCATTGCTCATGGCGGAGACAATGATGCCGCCGGTGAGGATCAGGACGGATAGAATCTGAACTTTACTGAATCTCTTGCCGAGACAGGCACCAATTAACATGGTGGTTATGCTGCCTCCGCTTCTGAGAATGATATGAATTGGGACACTGATATTATATTCAAACGCCCAGTTGTTCAGTACACTGACTGAGAAGAATAAGACGATAACACCCAGCCATCGTCGGATTGGGATTTGATTCTTGACCAATAATGTCGGCGAATTCCAGTCAAAATGCGCGATGAATCCTTCGATCGATACGAGCACGAATTGAGCGAAGGTGATGAGATGTCCCGAGTCCGGTGCCTCTTTAATAATCGCTTCTAGTGCGAAAACATTCGAACAACATCCTCCGAATATCAAACTAATCATCATAGCCAACCCGAACCATTCCGGGACTGTGGCTTGTAGCGCACCGGATGCTACAGATTTGATTTCATCGATGCTGCCATTGCCATCGGAACTTGCGCGGCCGTTGTAGTCGTAGCTGCTCCGTCCTTCCTCGGATTTCTGCAGGAATTCGGTCTCGGAATCTACGGACTTTCGAGCGCCCCCATTTGATACCGCATCCCCGTTATAATGCATGTCGTGATTTGTCGCAGCAGATGTGGTAGAAGCGACCGCAACTCCGTTGCCGACGTCGGCTCCGGTAGTTGTTGCGAAGGTATCGAGGTCTTCCTCTTCCTCCTTCACCTCCCTCTTGATTTCAACCGGTGGAGTTACCGTAATTGTCGCAGCCTCCTTTTTGCGCGGGGAGACCGACCGTCTGACCCGTGTGGTTGTTCTGGCGGGTGTTTTTGGCGTTTTGGGAGTCCCGCTGCGAGTGGAATTGCTATTACTTCGGTGGAGAGGCTCAGATTCGGAATCTGTATACGAAGATTCAGTCTTGAGCGAGCTGCTGGCGATTCGGGCGCTACGGCGCATGGCTTTCTTCTTTTTTTAGAGTCGTGGTAAGTTTGGAAACGTATTGTTGGAAGGCAGCGTGGATAGCTGGTTTGAGCGAGAAAGCCCTGGATACAAACTCGCCCCCACGGTGATTGAAGCAAATAGAGAAAAAGAAAGATAAAAAGAAAAGAAGAAAAAAGATGAAGAGAGGAGGGTGGGCAAATGTTAGTTATCGCCCGAAAGGAACCGAGAACAGGATGATATGTTGGGAGTGTGGTCGGCGGGCGCGGGCGCTATAGGAGGAGGAGGATAAGCAGTGGCCGGGATTGGTGAAGCATTGGGTTTTGAGGAAATGGTGTTATTAGGTAGTATATATGGCACCTCAGCTCAGCTCACAGCAAACGTAAGAATACAACAGCGGAGAATCAATGCAATGCAATGCAATGCGCGATGGGTATTATATAGATAAATAAAGCGAAGCTTGGCCAATTAATCTGATTGAGATGCGTGATAATGTTAATTTCTCGATGTCGTTGGGTTGGATTGGATATAGCAATGTTGGTTCAGGCTCGAGGTAATCAAAATTAAGTAGCGTTCAAGGCAGGAAACGAAGCCGAAGGGACCCTTTTTATTCTCTTCCCCGACAGCAGGCGGGTTCGAGCAGATGTATGTGCTACTACGACTTTAGATAGTTCTGGTCACTAACTACTTATTAATCTATCATTGTAATAGGATAGCGCGGGAACCCGCCGGGTAATATCGCCTCCACCAGTTTCAAAGCGACTAAGTTCGACACTCTATGAGCTAGTTAAACGTTGGCCTTGCCCAAGACCAATGCTAAGCTCGGGGTCCAGGCAAATGGCGAAATTAAATAAGCTTAATCGTCCCACCCCGCTGGCCGTTGGTGGTCGGTGCCCCTGCATGTCTAGCACGAGACCGGGACTTGGAAGCTTCCAAATGCAAGGCAGTCTCTGGCAGTTAAGCAAACCGTGGCAAGTGTAGCCGTTGCGCCATCCTTCGTGTAGACATTAGCTAACGCTCAAACCAAGATGCAAGTATATTTCTCCTGGAACTTGGGACATCGATCCCACGGTTTGCCAGTCTGCGTTGCCAGTTTACGGAGGTCTTGGTTTGAATTTCCCTGGCAGTGCCCAACAATTGATTAGGTAGGTGGTTGCCCTTGCTTGGGTTCCATCAAGCCCCGAAATGAATAGTGAAGACTATCTCTGATTGAACGGTTCCCCATTTGATACCTTTTATTTGAATTTTGTGGCACTATACCGTACGTTCTCTAGGGCTGTAGTTACGCTGCCATGACACAATTGTCCCAGCCTCGAGAATCCAACGAGCCAACACAATTGAGCATTCTTGTCCTAGCGAGTCGAACTGGTCACACCTGAGCCTTGTGGACCTCGTATGCTGCGGCTCTTTACCGCTGTTCCACATGGCAGAGCGAATCTAAGCATATATTTGAGCAGATTTTTTTATTTTAAAAAAGGGTAACAAAAACATATATGAAATTTACAGGATCCAAATACAAATATCCTCACATCATATATAATTACCAATTGCCACAGGATATGTTACGCAGTGAATAAACTAACAGTGATATTAGTGTGAGATATGTGGTAATGTTCAATAGGCGGTGTAGTGAAAGGAAATATGGTTATTGATAATTCTAGTTTGACTAGTATATGTTTAGTTAAGTTTATGTTGCTTCTCCGAATAGAAGGGGCCTTGACCTAGGTCATTGCATTGCAAACAGCGAAGTTGTCAAGACTCTTGATGTCAATGATGATGTTGGATCCGCTATCCAGATACTGACGTCAACTATTTTTGATTCCAATTGACGTAGTCAACAGCATCATTACCAACTGTATAAAGCGTCGACTTCAGGGAGGGCGAGCCCAATTTTTATATATAGAGGCCTTCAAAAAGTATCAATCCCGAATCTACATTATTATGAGTTCTCAAAATTAAAGGATATAACGTTAAACATCCATTATACTACTGCGAAGCTAGTTTCCCAACCAAATTTCATATATTTCAAATTACAAATATGTCGGATTCTGAATTCAAACCCGAAAACGACGTATCTGACGCCAGTGCAAAAGAATATCGTTCAGCAGATGGCTATCCAGTTCCTGTCGTCGACGACAAAGATATTTCTGGAGTCGACCCGACTACCGCAGATAGTGACCTTCAGTTAGGTATGTAAATGCACTATCCTACCTACACCCGCCGTGGGAAAATGCTAGTTAGTGGGCCCAATCGCTTACATTTGCATATAAACATATAGCTCGGGACGAGGCTGAAGCTATCGATCCTAGTAACATTGTCGAATCACGAACGCGTGGTGCCAAACCGCAGGGTCAATATCGCGAACCTGGGGATGACGAAGGCTTGCCAGGGCCAGATGACGGAACCAGTGCTGTCAGGGGTGGTCGTTAATTCTACTAGCATTAGAGCCTTAGTTGATGGGAACTAGATATCTAATTGATACGGTCGAATCAATAGTAGAAGGTCTCTTACACGGTACTCTATTTTTGTTAAGGTCGAATTAGTATATACTTGGAAGATTTGAAATTTGACTGGTTCGATTACTGCAACCTCCCCCAGAGTTCTTATTTGATTTAGTATATTACTGTATTCTGGAGCGCATGGATAGATTCACCTGTATCGTTCGTAATATCAATCTTTTCACCTACGTATTTATGTTCGCTGTAATGTGCCCCT